GCGGGGGGGTCTGTGAGGGGGGACGCGGGGGGGTCTGTGAGGGGGTCACGTGGACGCTGTAGCAGACAGACGGTACCTGTGATGACCAGCAGGAGGGTCATGAATGTCTCGGCACAGTCGGGCACCTTCAGCTCGTCCAGGTCGGCGATGTCCCTGTACTGGGAGGACCAGGCCCCCTCTGCGGCCAGCAGGGCGTCCACCTTCTCCACGGCCACTGTCGGACCACAAGCACAGCAGCGCCCCACATGTCAGGAGCCCCCAAACTCCAAACCGCCGCTAGTAACACTTTCAATCCCCCGCAAATCCCCCCCCCAGACACCACTGACGTTTCTTCTCCACGCTCAGCCACTTCTGGAAGACGGCGTCGTCCAGCAGGATGTGCAGGGCGCCGGGCAGCGTGCTGGGGTAGGCATGCGTGCCGCGCAGCTCGCGCTCGAACTGCAGGACCTCGTCCACCAGGTGGCAGAAGAGGGCGTCGTCGAACAGGAGGCGGGGGGCGTCGGCAGCCAGCTTCTCCAGGGCCAGCGAGAGCAGGCCGCGACAGAGCTCCACCTGGCAGGAGGAGACGGAGAGGGCGCTGTGACGCTCGCCGCGCGGCCTCACGGGGGGCAGGCTAGCGATGGTCTCTCACAGCTCTGTTCCCTGGCAGTCTGCACTGACTGTCTCTCAGTGGGCCCCTGGTCTGGCTGGGCTGTATGCCCGGATAGAGCCCCAGCCTGCTCAGGAGCAGGTCTGGGAGTCGGCCGTACCCGGGCATTGATCCGGGCTCCATCCCGGTCCAGGATGGGCTGGATCTTCTCTTCCATGAAGGCAGAGTGATTTCCCATCCACATCAGAACCTGGGTCAGGTACCACTCTGGCTGGAGGCAGAAGGAGAGAGACAGAGGGAGCAGGTGTTGCGCTCTTGTATGGCACCCACTGCCCCTGTACGAGCACACACTCCGATCTCATTCAGGGTTGACGTGCAGAGGGAAGGTCCCTCCTCGAGCACATTTCGTTAAGCACTAAGAGAGTCAGCAGTGGACTTCTTCATTATCAGCTATGCGATACGAACCATGGGACACTATGGAGAAGTGCATTTAAAACCAGGAGGCACTTCTTTACACAAAGAGTTGTGGGAGTGGGGAACGAGCTACAGCAGTATATTGTCAAAGCCAGTAACCAAACTGCTCTATGAGATTCTCAGATCAACGCGTTTCCAACAAGCAAACAAGCTAGATTTTCTAAATGGCCCCCTTGGAACTGTAATGCTCTGAGAGGAGTAGTGACTCTTCGAGATAGCTGAGCTCTCCACCCTGTCACTGAAATTCAGCCCACTAGTCCAAGAAAACCTCCTTTTCCCCTTCTGCACCCTGTGACTTTTCGGTCATCACCAGAGGCAGGCAAGGGGTGATAGGTCATAAAACATCCTCGAAACTGAGAGCTGTGGTCAAAAATCTAGCTCAAGAGTTTGGACGATAAAGCTTGATTTAAAAGAAAAAATCAGAAGGAAAACAGACTACTGATTAAAAAAAAAGACTCCAAAAAGTTTTAATTTGTGGAGTGCCTCTGGGGTCTGTATTAGACTCCTTTCTGATCTAAAAGCCTGGCGGGACTCGTCAAGTAAGAGGATGCAAAGTCTCAGCACACAGATGCTACAAAATGTCAAGCTCAAAACTTGTGAAAGGACATAGCTGTTCCTCTTAAACAGCTGCCAGCCAGCTCCTACAGATATACAGGGAAAATGTCCGACGGGAATGCAGGGGAAGTGATTCTCCCGATTGTACAGCGCATACTGTAAGCCAGAGCTCGTTCAGCGTGTGGACGTGATTCTGGCCTCTCTGACCCACAGAGGGACTTCAGCTCCTCGGACTGGAGCGGAGGACGGCGGGAGAGGACCTCTCCGCAGGCCCTCCCGTTCCCGGATTCCTGAAAGGGCTGACCCGGGAAGCAGGAGGCCGCGGATCAGCCCATCTGACCTTGTTGGGGGTGTTGGTCTGCCGGTTCCCGGTGAAGTGGTACCGGAACCTCTTGCTGAGGGGCAGCAGCATGATCTGGATGGGCAGAGGCAGGGGGGCGGCCGGGGGCAGGTCGAACCGGGGGGGCAGCTGCCTGGGCTCGGAGATGAGATCGTCCCTGGAGACGGAGGTTAGGGAGCAGAACCGGGGGTGAGCCAGAGGGAGGAGCGAGGAGGGAGGAGGAGGAGGAAGTGGAGCAGGGGTAGAGTGTCAGTATCTCAGCTTCAGTGTGTGTCAGCATCAATGTGCACGTGTTAGTGTGCAAGTGTGTCAGTGTGTCAGCGTCAGTGTGCATGTATCAGTGTGCAAGTGTGTGTTAGTGTGTCAGTGTGTCAGCGTCAGTGTGCATGTAT